ACTATAACTAACAATGTTTGCTTTTTACAGCTTTCAGTTGACTCTCAAACGGTTGAAACGATCTGAAGACATAATGAGTGAGAAGATGGAAATGACGTCAGTTGCTGAATATCATGACGCGGACGCAAACGAGGCAAGCGACGCCACTGACGAGTCAGGGTCAAGAAAAAACAAAATATATGACTGTAAAATTGACCCAATTTTATTGAACTCAAAATTGTTTTATTTTTTCTTCTTTGGCGGACTCGGTGCTGTATTACCGTATTTAACTATCTACTATAAACAGCTTGGCATGGATCCGTTGCGTCTTGGGTTAGTGGGTGGCATTCGACCGTTCATAGGTTTCCTAAGTGGTCCACTATGGGGCGCCATCGCCGACAAATACCGAATACGAAAACTCATGTTAATGTTTTCGCTCTGTGGTTGGATCACAATGATTTTAGTATTGGGGTTTGTGCCACCGGCCAAGGAAGGTGAATGTCCCGTTGCTGCGAACGTAGTTGGGCAATATTTGAACGAAACTAACGGCTCCACAGCCATCAACGTAGAGATGTCTCGCCGAAGAACGAGGTCTCGCTCCACCACTGATCTCGCTCGGATGAACTTCAGGAGTTCTGTTGAGATTTATTTACATGCACCGACACTGAACAACGCCGGAAAGTCACGTGATTTATCTAAAGGACGCAAAAACATATTCGCGAGGTCCGCCGATCGCAATTTTAGCGACGAGATCGTGTCCGAGATTGAGGTGATGACAAACGAAGAGGATCGAAGTTGGTTGTACGATCACAACAGTCTGCTGAATTTGTTTCTGCTTCTAATGACGCTTACCATGGCGGGAGAGTTCATGCAATCGCCTACGTCAGCCTTGGCGGACACAGCCACTCTCAACAATCTAGGTGGGGGCAATATGGATAAATACGGTCACCAGATCGTCTGGGGTGCCATAGGATGGGGAACAGCGTAAGGAGCCTACTTAAAGCGGGAGGGTCGTCACCTGCGCAAGCGCGGGAATTGAGTCCCAAGCGACGATAACAACACACGCTAAAAACGCAAAGGCTTATGGGTAGACGCTTGTTTGTAAACAATGACACGCTATGGCCATTTGACGCATGCGCAGGTGACGACTCCCCTGCTATAATTTTCTTGGTAATAGCATCAGTCACGTATGACGTTACACAGCATTACGTCATTCGATTCATATATTTGAGAGGCATGTATTTTATTTCTAACAAACAAACATACACAGTTGTCACGTGTACTTCATGTGACGTCATAGAAACGCTTCGTCGTAGAGGGCACGATTTATAGAAAGGCGTCTAAAGAGTTTGTACTGTTTGTTACATTGCTTTCAATAAAATAACACTCTCCATATTTCTAGATCGTTTGCTGTCGGTGCACTGGTTAATTTAACTAGACACACTACCATAAAGTGTGGTATCGAGTTGGTTTTCAGCGATTATCGTGTGGCTTTCTACTGTTTTGCTGCATTAATGATAGGCGCTTTTATTGTGGCAGTCAGATTAAAATTCAAGGTGAGTGTCCCAGTATTACGGTTTACTTTGTAAAAGTTTGAACAATCTCTGTGTAACGTGAGAATTCAATTTAAAGGGCGCTAGTCGTGCCGCACATGTGCGACATTTGTGTTGATAAACATTGCTTTTCCCACAATCCAATGCGCGTCTCTTTCACTAATTACCTTCGGCGACTCCTTCGATACCTCCCAAACACCAAAACAAAATACTTAATTAAAACTTAGTAACCTCTCAGTTTGTACTAGCAGGTGTGCACAGCAGTCAAAATCGCCATCTTTGTTTATATGAGACCCATATCTCGCGCATGCATGGCGCGACGACTACCGCCTTTTAAATTTGAGCATCCATTTCCATCACATGCATTCAGGACCAAGGCGCCATTTTTATTTGGCTTCTTTCTTTGTACCTCATGGTTTTAATTAGTTTTCGTAAAAATCAGCTTTTTATTAAGAAAATAGATTAGCCAGCATAAAGCACAATTTGTTGCTATTTGATTGCAAATACTAGTACTTCATTGAAAAACATGTTCTCCAAACTCGGCAATTATGTTGTCAATATGAAATTATAGCAAACTGACATTGCCACTATTGTTTATCGTAAATTAAGGGAAATTGTGTCCAGCAAACATATCTGTTCAAACAAGATTTAAATTTGAATCCATTAATTCGCGTTGTAACGTGTTTATGCAAAACATAGCACGGGAATCATTATTGCCAAGCAAATTAGGGAAAAAATATTGATGTTATTGGGCTTGTATCCTCTTGTCTTGCGATTCATAAGTGACAATTTACATAATATATTTATATTTTATATGAAAATCTACAAAGTAACACATGATGCAATGCCATGACGTAATGTTCACGTGACGTAATGGCATCGCGCTGATTGGTAAAGCAACGATTCACACGTCACTTAGGTCAGCTGCGTCATGCACCCATTCTCGTCACGTGCATTGCTTCATGAATTACATCATGTATATCGGCATTGGCTACGAATCAAGCAATCGCAGTGGAACATTAACTATGACATTTGACAATGGCATTGGATTTAAGATGAGCCCTTGAATATTCTATTGCTCACACGTAAAGATGGCGAATGAGAATATTGTATTTTTATTTTTAGAAAAAAAATTCTAAATTTTATTACAGGATGATGATAACGATGAATCTTCGAAGCACAGTCTAGCATCTTTGATCAAGTTATTGAGTAAAATACAATATTTCTCAGTTCTAGCAGTAGGCTGCTTTGTAGGTATTTGCAACGGGGTTGTCTATGGATTCATTTTTTGGCACTTGGAGAATCTTGGTAAGTAAAACAAAATATTGTTGCCTAGTAATCAAAACACAATATGGCTGCCTGCTACGCCAAATATTGCTGTCTAGTAATGACAAAAAATATGACTGCCTACTACGCAAAATATGGCTGCCTAGTTATCAAAACAAAATATGACTGCCTAGTAATCAAAACAAAATATGGCTGCCTAAGTAAGCAAAACAAAATATGGCTGCCTAGTAATCAAAACAAAATATGGCTGCCTAAGTAAGCAAAACAAAATATGGCTGCCTAGTAATCAAAACAAAATATGGCTGCCTTTTAAGCAAAATATGGCTGCCTAAGTAAGCAAAATTAAATATGACTGTCTAAGTAAGCAAAACAAAATATGGCTGACAAGGAAGCAAAACAAAATATGGCTGCCTACTACGCAAAATATGGCTGCCTAGTTATCAAAACAAAATATGACTGCCTACTACGCAAAATATGGCTGCCTACTAATCAAAACAAAATATGGCTGCCTAAGTAAGCAAAACAAAATATGGCTGCCTAGTAATCAAAACAAAATATGGCTGCCTTTTAAGCAAAATATGGCTGCCTAAGTAAGCAAAATTAAATATGACTGTCTAAGTAAGCAAAACAAAATATGGCTGACAAGGAAGCAAAACAAAATATGGCTGCCTAATAAGTAAACAAAACATGGCTGCCTAATAAGCAAAACAAAATATGGCTGCCTAAGTAATGCCAAAAGGTAATTAGTGATCAGTAAAGCTTGTATCGGCAATGTCACTGTTGCTATGCAGTCAACAGTCATTCAAAACATTGACTCAGCTGTTTGTTTGTTTTTTTTGTTTACCGATGATATTGACCGAGAAACATGTAATAAAAGGTGAGCTCCCGTGTTAGAACAATTGCCTTTCTAATGTCGTACTTCTAGATTGGTCTGATTTACGACTACAGTGTATCATTGAGGAATGAAATAGGCTCATAAAATAGGCTAAGATTTCCAGTTTCTCCCATAGCAACAAAACTAATGATGCATTCTTTATGTGCTATATATCTGAGCTAAAAACAGCCAGTAAAACATGCAAATTAAAGCGGGGGGAGTCGT